GTTGACATATGTCTATGCTGCAAAACGTTAGTAGTTTTTTTTTTTTTGAGGGGAGCAAAACGTTAGTAGTTGGAAGCGAGTCTCTACAGGGTCTCCATAACAAAACTTTCCCTCTGTAACGGTGATCGTCTCCCCAAGCCCAGAAACCATCCACCCGGCCCAAATCCAGCCCATCGAACTCTCCTACTTTAAAAACGAAGCAAACCCTAAAAATCATTCACTCTCTCCCCAACCGCCGCTGTGTTCTCTTCTCCTCCACCGCCGATCCCCTTTCTCCTCTTCCCACCGGCGCCAGAGCCGACGAGCTCGCGCCACCTCACCGCCTTCCTCCCTTTTCCAGCCGTCGCCACCCATCTCCTGTCACTGCTGAGATATGTATAGGCAGGCGTCTTGGTATTTGGTTGCCAATCAGCAGGCCAACATCTAGAAATAGATGGAAGCGCCGGAGGACGGAGACCTGGTGGCGCGTCTGCCTGAGGACGTGCTCGTCGATGTGCTCCGTCGCGTGACGGGGCCACGCTGCGTGTGCAAAGCGTGGCGGGCCATCATCGACGGCGAGGGACTCCTCCGCAGGCAGCTCCCGTTCAGCGGCATCTTCATCTGCTTCAGGAGGCTATGTCTGCCCGAGTTCTTCTCCCGCCCCGCGTCCGCGGGTCAGCCTATTATCAGCGGCAAGCTCGATTTCCTGCCCAGGGCCATTGAACTTCGCCCCGATGGATACATCGAGGATCACTGTAATGGACTCCTTTTGCTCCAAGGGAGCTACATCGATGATCACTACGTGGTTAACCCTGCCACGCGGTGGTGGAACGCTCTGCCCTTATGCCCGGACAATCATACTGAGCCTGGGGGAATATCCCATGGTATTTCATCCAGTGATTATTATCTGGCCTTTGATCCCACGGTGTCATCCCACTACCAGGTGTTTCAGATCCCTTATTTGGATTGGGGAGAAGATGAGACTGATCCTTTAGAGGAGACATCCGAATGGCCTCCATCTACATATATCTTGCATGTATTCTCTTCAAGGACAGGCTGTTGGGAGGAGAGGCTGTTTGTTCGACAAGGGGATGCTGCAGGAACCATTGCAAAGGCGCGTGTGCTCTTTGAGGGCCAACAAAACTCGGTCTATTGGCGTGGATCCCTTTACGTGCATTGTCAAAGTGATTTTGTTATGAGGTACATACCTAGACCAGTTCATGGACAATTTGATTTTTAGTGTTCACTTTATTCATACTGAAAGCATTAACCAGTCCTCTGAATTTCAAAATTTTCTTCCCAACCATTTGATTTTGCAGAATATCTTTGTCTGAAGATAAGTACAGTGTGATTAAGCCACCAATGGATATTGGGTGGAGCAGTTATCTAGGATTATCTGAAAAAGGTGTGTACTGTGCATCATTTGTTGAGAATGCTCACATTCTGGTTTACACCCTCACTGAATCGTGTGATCAGTTCGAGTGGATATTAAAGAACGACTATGACCTTAAGCCTGTGCAAATGTTTGATGGCCAAGTTAATGGACCCTGGATTTTAGAAGACATTAACTATGAAAATTTTCGTTCTCATCTACCAAATATCAACAAGGAAGAAGTAATTCAGGAGAAATTTGAATGGAACTCCGATGATGACGATTTCCATGAGAACCTAGACATTGTTGAAGTGCAACATCGTCCATATTTTGAGATTGAGGTACTTGGATTTCACCCGTACAAAGAGATTCTCTTTTTGAGTAGGTCAGAGGACTATAAACTGAATGCAATGGCGTTTGCCTATCATTTGAATAGCTTCAAGGTTGAAAATTTGGGTAGCATATACCCGACAGGTCATGACTATTTCAACTGCAGCATTCCTAATGAATCTCATGAGATTGAATCTTTTCCATACAGGCCATGTTGGATCGGAGAGACCCCAGAAATAGTGAATTAACCTGTAGTAGCTCGTCTCAAACATTATCACATATGTGCTGTTTTTTTTCCGATATTTTTGGCTGTGACTTGTGAAACAAATTATTATTTAATTATTATTACTCCATTTTGTTATAAAGTAGCTCCTAGATTCTGTGTTTGGGGCTTGCAGATGGGTTTGCATCTCATGCATCTAGCTTCAAGAGATCTCATTCACGTAATGTAGGCTTCTAAGCAGGAGTTTCTAGATGTACATATACTCACATCGGGTTACAGGAGTTGCATAGATTGTTTCTAGATGTACATATACTCACATCGGGTTACAGGAGTTGCATAGATTGTTTCTAGATGTACATATACTCACATCGGGTTACAGGAGTTGCATAGATTGTACCTGCTGCTAGTTGCATCTGCAAGCTGATTTCCAGGTTCATGCATAAGGCGATTCAACATCACATCTGAATAACATGTACATTTATTTGGAGTACCCCTGCGGCAGCATTACTCATACTATCTCAAAGATAAAGAATATCAGAGCATACAGTGTTGCTGACAAGATTCTATTTCATACCTGTAAAAATGCTTTATAATTAAGGTGTCTAACCCAGGAAAGCATATTCAGTACATAATTCTTTCTATTTGCACACTCCACTATTTCAGGGGCTACTTGATGGCCTCTTCTACCGTTGCTAGCCACTCCGCCTTGTATTGTTCCACAACTTTGGTACACCGTTGATTTCTCCCTCTTCCTTGTACAACTTTACTTCATAGTTTCTTGAAGCGACCTTGTTATCAAGGAATGAATTTGTCGCTCGGCTCTTAATTTCTAGTTTTTGGAGCTTCTCATCACCCTATAAAGATTTCCCTGCACCATGGTAGGTAGGTGCAGTCCATGAGATGGGATCAGAGGCCTTCTTGGAATTTAGCTGATGATGATTGAACTGAACTGCATTGGTTGATCCACTTGTTGGGCCACCTATCGGAGAGAGAAAAGGTGAGGAGGCGCTTAGTTAGTTTCTTCATAGTGGTGTCTCCTGAGATCAATCTATCTGCCACTTGCGCCTCCACCTCCACTGCTCTGGTTCCGCAGCCAATTGCCAACTTGGTCGCTGCCATGCCCTTTTGCTCTCGGATGTGGATACAATGCAAGGCTAAGAACAGTATGTTTGAATACCTCCTCCGCCGACCCATTCATGGAGAAACCATTGTGCAAAAATAATAATAACCTAAAGTCATATCTTCTGATAGGTGATCACTCCTTCGACACCCCAAACTTCCTCAGCCTTGTGGCAAAACCATCCCCAGAGTCAAGGAGGAGTGGCGTATGATCCGACA